CAGTTATGACCATTTTACTTATTATCGATACAGCTACATCGTTAATAAAAAGACTAGTATAGTAATATATATTTAATCTATAGTTCATGAAAAGAGTTTCATTGATTAATAAAGACGTCATCAAAGCCTTTAACAAGACAAATTTCAATTCGGATTGGTTGTCAAGCCAGACCAAACCCAACCTTGAGGTGATAAGAACCACACAGAACTTCCTCTGGTGTCTTTAACGCCCGCTACATCACTGAAACACAGTGGTTCTGCAGAAGTTATTTGAGTTATAGCAAAGGTGCTTCTATTTGAATATTCTCCGATGCTGGTAATTTCTACACACGGGCCTTGCAGCGCAGAAACTTTTAATGCAATGTTAGCAATCGATGTATTGAAGGAAACAGCACTTGGTACAAAACGAGTGCAATAAAATGTATGTGGAACAGCGGACAATGTGATGTTTGGAATTATTACCAAAAGGTTAAGAACAAAAATAAACAATTTAAAAGGATTCATAATTGCTAGCATTATTTAATTTTATTGTAAAAAATACTTTGATAACGTCCTCTGAATTTCATCCCACGAATTTGCGTAAACTGGGCTTTAAATATATTAGCAAAAAATAATAGAGTTTAAATTCTTTATTAGTTAAAATTAAAAATGCAGCAGTACTAAAAATAATTTGAATCGCAAAGTATTTCTATTGAATAGAATTCAGATTTATATGTGATTTTAATACGAGCGCTCAAAAGAATTCTTAATTGTATTTTTAGAACAATTTAATTTGTAAGTTTGAGACGCATTAAGTTTTCTATTAATGAATTTGATTTCAATTATATGATTGAGATCAATTCTCTAAATTAAATGTTAATTTAATTTTGAACAGTTCTTAAAAAATATAAAATGAAACTTTAATACAAATAAAAGTAATATATATAAGATTAGATCCTACAAAAAGACTTAATGAGGTACTAAATATAAAAATGAATAAAGTAAAAAATAGACAAAGAATTGTTATAGAAAATAACACTTTAATTAAAAATATAGTAAACGATCAAGAAAAAATAGAAATATTAGAAGAAAAAATAAAATATATTTCTAATATTAAGCTAACTGAAGTAGTTAAGACAGATTTAACTTCATTAAAAGAATTAAGTTATAATGTTGAAATACCAGCACTAGAGAAAAAAATTGAAGCATTAAAAAATTATGACGAGTTACAAAGTAAATTTAATACATTATTTGATACAAACAAAGATTTGAGAGAAACAAATTTTCAAAATTCTAAAAAAATCAATGAGTTAAATAATAAATTATCGGGAAAAGAAAAACAAATACCCTTTTCAAATTCTAAAGAAGATAAAAAGCAAAAAGAACTATTCGAGAAATTTATTAGAAATTTTAGAGAGATAGAAACATTACAAACTGGATTTTCAATCAAACAGAAGAATAAAAAACATTTTGTGAACAAGAGAACTGAGATTATAATCAAGAAAATCCTGAATGATTTTGAGATACGAAAAAAAACATTAGAAAAAGAACATGAAGCTGGTAGGTTAATGAGAGAGACAAATATTTTATGCACAAAAAGTGATTTAGCGATAAATGAAATTGCAACTAAGTATGGAAAAGATGTAGTACAATTAGAAGCAGATGTAGAATATAAAGTTGTTAAATTAAAGAATGATATTGAATCCAAAATAAATTCTGATTTGGAAAAACACATAAATTTTGAATCCAAAAAATTAAAGTTAGAGAAACAAATTGAAGAGCTAGAAAACAATAGCGATCTCAAAATGTTGCAAACAATATTAAATGAATTAAGCCAAGAAAATAGAAACTTAAGAAATTTAAATCATGAAAATTCTAATTACATAAGTAAGCTAAACGAACAAATAATTTTTTCAAGGTCTAAGAAAAGGAATGATGAAAATATTAAAAAAATGGAACATGATATAATAGCTAGCCAGAAAAGCGCTGAAGAATTTAAATTAATCAATAAACAACTTCAAGAGCGTCTAAAGAAACAAATAATTTTTTCAAGGTCTAAAGAGAAAAGAAATGCTGATTCTGATGAAAAATTTAAAAACATGTAGTATGTAATTTAAGTCAACTGTTCTTCAAATTAATAGTAATGTTCAGATAATTTAAGAAGTAAATGTACTGTTAAATGTACTGTATACTATATATTTTTTTCTTTAGTTATATTACTTTGCTTCAATTTTAAGACTGGGAATTGAAAAATTTTACAGATTAATAGTGCTTTTACATTTTGTATTTTTTGGGTATCAAGATTAATAATTTATAATAATTTTTAAGAAATTTTATTATTTATTTCTTTTATATGTTAGATATAAAATACTACATATTTAAAACTACAGTCAAACCCCTCTATAGTCACACCTTCGGGATACAAAAAAAACGTGATTGTAAAGAGGTGTGACTAATATAGGGGTCGGGTGCGTTTGGTATAAATTTGGAAATGATCTACATTCTGCATAAATTACCTTATTGATACTTATATAAACCACTAACCAATACTGCTTCAAAAAAGTAACCCTAACTGCATCAAAAAAAAATAACGTTATTAGCTTTTAAAGTTTGTATGGTCTTTAAGTTCATGCACCGTAGTTATGTTAATTTCAATTCGAACTCGATAGGATAATGATCTGAGACACGCATTGCGAGTTTTGTGATCAAGGCTGGATCGTATTTATCTTTCCAAAATTTGTCAAATTCCCATACCCTGATATCACCAATCCATCTGTTCTTATTCTTTACCTCAAATATGAATCTATCATAGGCTGCGCGTTTAGAGGCAACAGTAGTATCACTTGAATGACTAATTCCCCAAATTAAATTATTTTGAGCCAAAATTTTATCTAGTTCTGCTTGCTTTGTTTTATTAAGATAAGAACCAGAAGCATTGAAATCACCCATTAGAATTATATGTTCGCAATTTTCTCCAAAAATTGGTGCTTCTTTTGTATTCAAACATAATAGACTTAATAAACAAGAAAGACTACTCTTTTTTACCGATTTTTTTTTAACATAAGCGTATACATCAGTCACTAATGCTTTTATTTCGTTGTATGCATGTCCTGGCTGTGTATGACATCCAATAAGTGTAATTTTTACATGTGGTTTTTTCAGATGCTGAAATTGGGCAACGTAAGGCATTCTAACAAATTGACTATTATTAGCTATATAGTTATCTAGTAATTTCCACTTATTCGGTTTATATAAGTAAAGATATCGCTCTTTATATGAATGTTTACTAAATCTTTCTTCATTTAGGCTTTTACCAACAGGGTAGCTTAGGGTATAGGAATATGGGACAGAAGAGTTTGATACCATATCGACAAGTTTCTCAATCATTTCTTCATCATTTAAATGGACTTCTTGGCAAAGAATAATATCATATCGTCGAAGGATAGGAATGATGATTCTCATTATATCATTATTTTTTAACTTTTTAAGACCAAACGCTCGGATGTTAAAGGACCCAATCATACTAATTCCATCTTTGAATGCATAATAACTCAATGGTTGTAAAGGCAATTTTTTTAATAAATTATTGTCTTCTGGATTCTTTTTTTTGTTATTATAACTAACCATGCTTTTACGATTAGTTTTGGATAATATGATACAAAACATATATATTGACAAAAAAACTTTTACCAATATTAATATTTTCAATTATCATTTTAATTGAATCGGTTAACATTTATTTTGAAATAATTGACAAACTTTAATTTAATTGGTAATTTAAACGGACTATTTAAAAAGGATTGCAATAAACAAACGAAAACAATTCATAATTAATTTGCACATAGTTCAGTGGCAATGCTTTTATTATTTCTTCTATTACACCCTAAAGCTAATTTTTTTTAATTGTTTCTGCGCATTTATAATCGATGTAATAGAATTTTTAATTTCAGGGTTATTCTCAAATGCAGGGATTCAAATATAATATCACATTTTATATCTCAGATATAAAACTTTAGATCAAAACATTGTATTGTCTCTTTGTCTTTTTGCAGGTTTTGCTTTACCAATTAAAAAATATAATACGAAACCTAATATTAATTCATATTTTTTTAATTAATTACGTGAACCAAAAGATGAATTTATCATATATATATTTCAAATTTTGCCATATTTTAAATTTTTTTTTATAAATAAAGAAATTAACATGTTTAATCATTAAAAAAAATGGATTCTAACTTGAATTTTAAGCCGTCGGTATATGAAATAAATCGATGTATTGAATATATTAATAATAGCGATTACCAAATTGAATCCAAATCATATTATAAAGATTTATATGAAAAATTTTCAAAAGAATATTCATTTTTACTCAAAGAAATTGGAGCAAATAATTTATATTTCAATTATCAGAAACAAAAAAATTCCAATTCACTTTTTAAATTATTATATTACTTAACAAATTTCCATGAAAAAGCTAAGAAAGAATTTGAAAAGATCAAATCACCTACGTTTTCAAATTTAACTTCGTATTTTAATGATATTGTAAAAAAGAATCTTTCTTTAACAATTTATTATAGATATAATTCTAATTGCAATATCACTAATCATTTATCTTTAGAACAGTTCAATCTATCCAAAAAATCTAACTTAGAATCTTTATTAAAGTATGATTTAGCTGAATGGTATTAATTAAATACAGAAATTGTGTTGTAATTATAAGATTAAATTACTGTATGTATAAATATAAGAATTGCTTCACGTAATAGACTATGTTGGTATTTTTTTTATAAATATAGTTGGTGATCCCGATCAATCAATCAAATAACTATGCTATTTACTTCTTTTTTTGTTTTTTCTTTTTCCGTTTTTTATTCATTAATTTTATGCGTGATCTTAATGGAGGCTTAATAAAAGCTTACAAACTAAAGTTCGAATAGTGCATAACTAATTCTTGTGTTTCTCTAATTTTATCAATAAAATCCTTCAATTTACAATCATTTATAATAAAGGAAAATTATAGTTAAACGAAGAATCTTGCTTTCTTCATGTTATTTTCCATCAGTTTTTTTAGCAAATTTATTCAATGCATCTTCCTCAGTTTTTATATTACAGTTTACCTTCCCAAATCAGATATGCATCATAGACAGCTTTTGTATCAGTTTTGAGAGGTTATCGTGTTTAAAATATTAATTGCACACTGGTCACATGATTATAAACAATTATAATTGGTTAGATTATATTTCTTATATATGTACTCCATTACAAAAAGCCCGATCTGAGCCAATCAAATCGATTTATATTACCTGACAAACCCGATATCTTATTGATATCTGATCTCTTGAACATCGGTTATCAGAAATAACAGGTTATCGGGTTTGAATTATGGAACAAACATGCATGCACTTCCCAATATTCCTCAAGAAATGCTCGGTTTTCCTTTTCGATATTCAAGATCTCAGTTTTTAAAATCCTTCTTTTCTTATGTTTAGTCATAAAGTGATTGTTAAATTTGTCAATGATCTGTTCAGAGGAAGTTTTAATTTTTAATCTGGATGAGTTTTCTTCGATTTTCTCAGATTCTTCTTTTGGAATATGATGATCAGTTTCCATTTTGACTTTCTGTTAGGATTTAATCAAATAACTTAATGCTCTCTTTTTATTTCGCTTTAAGTTCGTTAACGATAATTTATGGGACGAACCTGACCAATCATTTGATAATAAAATTCCAGCATTATTAACAATATTAATATTTCATTTTAATTGAATCGGTTAAAATTTATTTCGAAATAATTGACAAAATTTAATTTAATTGGTAATTTAAACGAACTATTTAAAAAGGATTGCAATAAACAAATGAAAATTTTAATAAACAATTCATAATTAATTTTGCACACAGTTCAGTGGAAATGCTTTGATTGTTTCATCTATCCAGCTATCTACAAAATTTTTTTAATTACTTCTGCGCATTTATAATAGAATTTTTAATTTAGGGTTATTCTCAAATGCAGGCAAATGCAGGGACTTGAACGTATGCTATTTTTTACTTCTTTTCTTTTTCCATTTTTTATTCATTAATTTTATGCGTGATCTTAATGGAGGCTGTAATTATTACAATTAGAAACTATTGGATTTTCATATACAACATACACATGATTATTTTGAAAGTTATACGTACCGTATTTTCGCAGAAAAACGCTCATGGACATTATTTCGAAAATTACACCCTCTAAAAAAATAACATTTTAAATGTTTTCAATTATCAAATTTAATTGAATGGTTAACTCATAAAAAGCCTTTGAAACTTATTAATCAAACAATTGAAGTCAATTTCCAAAAAGTTAAAGATTTGTATTTAAAAAGATTCTACCTCACCTTTTTTCAAAAAAATAAGTTCTTCCTATTTTAATTTTAATTTCTGTAAAACTATGAATTCAGACAAGAAACACAAGAAACAAAGACTTAATTCTGCGATCACAAAATACCAATCAGGCAATTATCAAGAAGCCTTTTCCGATTTAAAAAATTTATTGGATGAAATTTATCCGCAAGAAGAAGGTCTAATTAAAATCTACGGTCAAGCTACATATTATTTAGCACTTTGTTCTATGCAAGGAAAAAAAGATAGAGAGTATACTTTAAAAATCGCAAATCATTTACGCGATAATAAATTATATGAGGATGCTTGGAATATTTACAGAGAATTAACTAAAGATGATGAGGTGAAATTGATAGCATTAGTTTATATGGCAGAGTGCTTTAAAGAACTCATTCACAAAGAAGAACTTGCTTTTAAAATAGCTTTAGAACTTTATAGTAAAAAAAAATATAAAGAATCATTTGATATTTTTTACAAACTTAGTTTAAGTAAAAATGATGAAATTAAATTTCTTGCCACATGTTTTATAGCATCTTACCATATTTCTGGATATAATAATATCAAAAAGGATAAAGAACTAGCTCTTAATGAGATATATAACTTTGATAAAAAAAGTGGAGTGAGTCAACAGAAATCTCGACCTGATCTAATCTAATCCGATCCAATTAGATATATCAGAAGATTAGCAAAAAAAGCTAATAAAGATATCACATTTCAATAAATTGTTAAGCTTTCATGTATTCTAATCGCTTGTGAAGCTTTTCTTGAAAATTTTTAAAATAGAAAAGGTGTTATAAAAAATTTTATTAATAAGAAAAATGCCATTGATGCAAAATTAGACAGAGATAAAAATTTGAAATCTTGTCAAATTTAATAAGTATTTAAAGTATTTATCTGCAAATTGAGAATTAATTGTTGAATTGTAATGATAAACTTTATTACATGAATAATCAACTCTTTTAATTTCATGTAACAACAATTACAAACTTTGTTGCCAAACACCATGAGATTTATGACGAGCATTATCGTCTTATAACACTAGACCGAAACAACGTTATTATTCTTTCTACAAAAATTATTCTTTCTACAAAATATCAGATATCTTTTAAGATACTGTGCAAGATCATTCAAAATCTACAACCAAATTAAAACATCGATTTAACAGAGGCAAATAAATGTAATACTGTATAAATCAATATTTATTCATTTATTCAATGATTTATGAATAGATTACATAAAATATAAAAAATAAAGAAAAGGAAAAAAATAAATGGTCAAAAGAGAAATCGTAGCTAAAAAAAATTATTATACACTATCAGAAGATACTTTCATAAACAATTCACTGTAGATTTAAACACAAAATAATAACTTGAATCTTACTTTAAAATATTGTAAGTCTTAGTTTAAATTATTGTATTCTATTTGAATTTGTATTTTTAGAAAAATGAAATCATTGAAACCAGTATATAATTTGTTATTTCTTCTGAATAAACTATTTAATTGAAGAAACTATTCAATTAAAAAAATCTATAATTAAAGTATTTGATTGGAAACCATTCAATTGAAAAATCTATAATTAAAGTATTAGATTGATTTCTTTAGTAAACATCTCAAAGTCTCTATGGTATTGTATTTTAAAATTATTTAAATGTAATTTTAGAGAATAATTAACTTAGCCAACTTTTTTAACGATGCTTAGTGAAAATATAGAACAAAATTTGGTTCTAACACTTAATAATTATGTTGATCAGCAAGTTCGAAAAGGAATATCAAAGAAACGAACTAATACTAAAGTCGAAGAGATTTATTACATTGGCAGAGATGATATCTTTGGTTCAAAAGATTCCAAGGATTCAGAAAAAAAAGATCTTATTTATAATAATTGTTATTTAAAGCAAATATATGAAGATGTCCACATTGCCATCCGCAGTTACGAGTCGAGTGACGAATTTTCTCCTAAACATTTTGTTGCGATATTAAGTATGGCTTTTGCTCCATTTGTAGAAAGTAACTATCTGCCAAATAGAGAATATAAATTTAAGTTTAAATTAAACAATTCAAGCACCGAAGTGGTATATAACTTTAAAGATAATTCAACTAAAAAAAAATCAGACAAAGAGATGGAAAATCAATATGGTATCGATATGAGAAAACAACCGAGCGCTCTTAAAATTATTCTTTGTGCTGCAGGCTTAACGCCAATATTTTATTTAAACAGGAATATCTGACAAATGCTTTATTTCAATTCTAAACATAATTTAAGGGTCTCTTTTTATAAAATATAAACCTTATATAATCATTAACCCCACCTTCCTCAAAGTTTATTTCTTTCATAAAAAAATGGTGCAAAATATGCATAGAGAAATATCTTTTTGCTTCAATTGTAAAATCTAAAATTTCTTTAAAAGTTGGAATAAGTCTTGAATACTGTTCATGTTGCTTTAAAAATAATAAACATCCTCGTCCATATGGGCCAAAAATAAGCAGGATTGTTTGTGTTGCTTGCAAAATTTTCTGCATTGCGTGTATAATTTCATCTGAATAGATTTTTAAACTAGGCAAATTCATGGTAACATATCGATCATAAAAAGAGCCATTAAGGTCCTTCTTAAAATATACTGCTGCATCGAATAAATCTAGAATATCAATTTCAATTTCATCTGTTGCCCATTTAAAAATTAATTGATAAAGTTCTTGCTCTTCTTTTGATTCTTGCAAATTGTGAATAAAGCTCTTTTTGTCTAATAAATTTAATGAATTAATTAAATATTCTAATTTTTTATATTTTATATTTAATAAAATATCGCATCTTCTTGGTAATCTTTCTTCATATATGGTTGATAAACTATTTAGGACTTTAACTTCTTTATTAGTCCCAAAAAAATAAACTATGCCATTAATCACAGCCCATCGTTCAGATATTTCAGCATAAAATGGCGTGTTGTTATTTTGCAGAAGATTCCCGATCTGCATTGCAAACTTGATATGATTGCTATCATGTGTCATTGGATCGTCGTCATTTTTATTTATCCCTAGTTCTTGAAAGTTGCTAATGAAGTCTTCAAATGACATGTTTCAAAGTAACGAGTCTAATACAACAAAGTATGCTTTATAATCTTTTTTTTCTTTTAAATTATTCAATTGAATTATTTATTAGATATTTAAAAATAACAATAACAATACAAATTTTTTAACTTGACTGGGCGAATTGAATTAACAATATTTTTATGAGAGATAGCCACCTTGTAACAATATTTGCGATTGTTTCTGTAAAAATAAAATTAAATATTAATTTAATTTTAATTGATGAATAGCAGCGCCCAAGTGAAAACTAGCGATTAAAAAAATAGATTATTACGGTATTATGAATTCATAATAATCTATATTTATAATTGCTTGATAAATTATCGATTTGTTAGAATAGGTGCTTGTCACTTTTACAATGCATAGGGTAGATAATTCACTATTAAAAATGTGACAAATACCAATGAATAAAATTTTCATGAACCAACAAATACGTACCTAATAATGCATTTATCACATAATTATGGTTCTTTTGTAAATTCCTTGTCAACTCGTGGATTTTGTATGTTAATGTTTCTGTCATTTTTGTTCGAAAAAATTAAGTGAAGATAGGAAATAATTATATTGTATGTTAGGCTATAAAAGTAATACCTGATATCTTTATTGCATTGTGATGAAAAAGCTTCTTCAATTCACGAATTTCGTCTGCTAATTTTCTATTAGTATCTTATTATTTTTATTATCTTATGAATCTTAAATAATTACCGCTTGATTCATTATTTAATTTAATATTTTGAAGTTGTTCACTTAAAAACTTAATACATCTACTAGCTTCGTCTAACAAAATTTTGAAACATCTAATGAAGCATTTTCATTTTAATATTTATTTCAACCAGCATAAAATGTATTTACCAATCCTGCTTAAAAAATTTTTAACTTGTTTTGATTCATTTTCATTTTCTAAAATAAAAGTTTATACGTGAAATAGTTGCAATAATTAATAGAACTAACAAATCAAATGTAATGTATCATTACTTTTGGTTTTGATTCTTAATTATTAAATAATTGATATTTTACTAAGTAATAATTGGAGATTCTTAATTTCTTGGCTTAATAAATTTGTTTTTGTCTCAATTTTGAATTCGATCTCTTTCATCTTATTTATTAAATTATTCACATTCTCTTGCTCCATAGTAGCATACCTTGACTTTAAATTTTTTATTTCTTCATTGAAGTCTTTTATTATTTCGATGTATGTGTTTTTTTCTTTCTTGAAGGCATCTATTTGCCCAATATATTCGTTTGCTTCTTTCTCAAGATTCTCTATTTGTTTAATATAATCTTGCTTTTCTTTCATATAACGAGAAACTGAAATTATTGGGGTTGAATTATTATCTAAATTGTCAAGCATCCTTTCTAGTTTTTGAATTCGATGCTTCATATATTGACTAAATGAAATTATATGATTTGAGTCCAAAATTTTTTGATGAATAGTAGTAATTTTGACATCGACATCTACTAATTCAGACGTAAAATTATATGATAGAACATTGATGGATAATTCTTTGTTCAAATGCTCATTTCCTAATTTTGCAGCAATGCAGCATATAGGCTTAAATATAAAATTAGAATCTTCTTCGGCTTTAAGATAAAGTTGCGTAAAATCAATACCCAAAAGTTCTCCGATGATTATGCATAACCATTGCCATTCAATATTTGTTAACGGATCATTCATATTTTCTTTCGTATTTTCAAAAATATTTCCTAATTTACTACATGGTGAATTTAGTGGCGTGTAGAATAAACTTTGATAAAATTATGTATCAGCGTAAATCTTACAGAAAGTTATTAAAGATCTCATTGACTTTTTTTGGAGTAAGGTTAATGATATCATTTCCGAATACTTTCCGTGCCTATATTGATTAAATATTAATTAAATGATTAACTCTTTATTGTAAGTAATAATTACACTCTTGCAACAGACCCATTCTAAACATTCATAAGAATCCTGCATATTGGTTAACGGTTAACGTGGTTATTATGTTATTTGGTTCAAGTTAGAAATATAAATAATAATATTGAATTTAAACTTGATCTGAGCAGACAGATCTATCATTATTATAATTTAATTTGCATTATTTGTACTTTTACTTATTGAAAACAATTAGATTACTAAATACATTTCTCAATTACAGATTTTTTAACCCTTCAATTATAACAAAAAATATCAAATAATAATATTTATTTAAAATATTTTTTAATTTTGTAATTGTATAATATGTAAATTAAAGTAATTGATTGTTCTTTTTAATAATATCAAATAAAAAATATAAATTTTTAAACCTTCCTCCTAAATTTTTTTCTAAACTCTGATCAAATGTCTTTTACTGCAAGTCAAGAACTTTGTTACGCTAAACATCTTTTTACAATTAATAAATATGAAGAAGCCAAGATAATTTTTTTAAAACTTTCTAAAAGTGATGATGTTACAGTGCACCAAGAAGCTAGAACTTATTTAAAAAGGCTGAAATCTATATCTAAAAAAAATGCTATTGAGTTTAATAAAGCGGAAGAAACAAGGGAAGAACATAGTTTTGTTTAATTGTACTTGGACGACTAAACAAATCGGGAACATAACACTTTAGATTAGACAAATTGCTATTATTGAATCATATTTCTCAAAGTCTTGTTAGATTTATTAGTGATAATAACTGATAGCATTTTTTAAATTTTGGTTCATTGTATACATATTTTGTTTAAACAATTAATGATTAAAAATTTATTTGTAGCTTAATTAGGATGTAAATTTATTAACTATATAATTTACGGATCGCATCACTAATCGTATAGTAATAAAGATTTTTATATTAAAATTTTTGTTCATTGAAATTATTGGGATGTTGAACTTTTATTACAATTCAAATAATATAACTTTAAGAAACAATTTTATATTCTCAGAAAGAATTTTTTTACTAATTTATGTAAATTTAGTTATCAATCTTTCATTAGTCAGAATTAGTGATGTGCCGCGTACAGTACTGTATGTACTATACGTACGTACTGTATGTACTGTACGCGAGAATTTTTGCCGATCATTTTATATGTAGTCTGTTTTATGTTAATTCATTAGGTAGCTGCACGACGTAGTCGCGCTAAAACCAGGATTAGTAAATATGTTTGATTACAATATATATAAAGAAAATAATAAAAAGAAAATTTTCAGTCATTGCTTTAAAAATTTAGTATAATTATAGTATAAATCAATTTCATGAATTATTTTATTGACAGTCATTTCATTGATAAAGCTTGGGTGATAGGATTGGTTGATAAATGGTTAATGTTGGGTACAAAACTTTAACATGTATCTGAATAGCTTAGTCAATGATCATTTTTTGCGAATAACGAACAATCTATACTAATATTTGACAGTGTGAAGATTTATTTGTCTGTTTTCTATATTTTATGATTTCAATGATAGGTAAGGTCATAATTTCAAAAATGAACGGGTAAGTTAGTGATTCGCAACGATGGGCGATTAACGATTTTAATGGTGGGTAGAATAATGATTTTAACAATGGGCGTTGGTGATTTTAAAAATGGGTGAGTGAGATTATTATTTCAACAGTAGATCGGTTAGTGCTTTTAATATCAATGGGTTAATTTTAGCGGTATGTAAATTAGTAATTTAAACAAATAAGTCAATGAGTGTTTACGATTCGAGTAATAATAAGTTAAAGATTTTAGCAATGGGTGGATTCCAGATTTTGTATGTAATTCATGACTTAGCAGAGATTTTAACAGTGGATGATCGTTTAGCAATGCAGATTCGTGGCTTTGACGGAAAGATCGTGATTTTAATAGTGGGTGAAGATTATACAAAATGTAACAACTATGATCACGACAACAAATCGGGTATTAGATTTTGGGAACGCACATAATTTCTTTCTCGAATAAGCCATACACTTTGTGATATTCATCACTCCGTTCCTGGTATAGACTGCATGTGCGAGTTATAATGATTATTTATTAATTGACATCGATTTACTTATAATCTATTTATTTCTTATTTAATTTCTTTTTATTTATGTTTATTCAGACTGCGAATTAATAGTCGTTTATCAAAATATTGTAATAATTTATAATCGAAATACCTAAGATGAACTAATCATTTTTCATTTGATTTACATTAAAATAGTCTGTAAAAATATATATTTTTCTATTACTTGAGTATTAGGCCATACAAAGTTGATTTTTCGTTTTGCATTCGAAATTTGGTCGGGCAGTTAGTCTAACTAATAGACTGAATTTTCAAAGTTTTTATTTCTTGAAAGGTATTTTACTTATTTTCAAATATAATAAAATAATGCCCGTATGCAAATGTCCTCTTAATCCAATTTGATTGGTCAATCTGCATATATGTGTATAAATAGCTAACTTTATAAGGATTATGATCATTGCTAACTGTAATTGTGCATGACGCATAACTAATGTCATAATAATTCGTGAAATTGATTTATACTATAATTATACTAAATTTTAAAGCAATGACCAAAAATTTCCTTTTTTATTATTTATATTGTAACTAAACGTATTTACTAATCCCAAATAAAGCTTCCGTTCCTGGTTTTAGCGCGACTACGTCGCGCAGCTACCTAATTTTAACCTATGTTAACGTGAAAAGAAAAATCCATATAAATTTCATGTGAACGGAATCTTATTTTCCCTTAGTGTCATCCGTATAAAAAAATTAAATTAGTGTTAGCTTATCTTTGAATAAATCAATACAAAAAAAAAATTGAGTATAAACAAATTAAATGAGTGTTAGCTTATCTTTGAATAATTTATTTGATAGAGCGATCAGATCAACATAAAAGAAATTTAATTCGGCAAACATAAACCCGAATTAATCACCTTTTACCTTTATTGATTCAATATTTATCGAATAACAATAAAGGTAAAAGATGATTAACATATTAACATGAACCGGTACTCGGGTTTATTTTTTGTCCGAACCCAATCTGAAATGTCAGAAGGTGATTTTCAAGGAAAAGACCAAATTAATAATTTATTTTAAATTTTCTGCATTGATGAAATAAGATAAAAGAGAGTACATCGGTTTCGTGTAATTTCACGTACATCAAACTTATTTTTGCCAATAAAATTTGCTGCGTTTTGTTAGAACTACAATTTTATTGGCCAAAAAATTCATGCAAATGATGTTACACGAAACATACGTATATGGGATCTTTGCTAGGAAAATCGGATAGATTAGTGGAGCAACCAGATCGACCAAAATTTAGGGTCGGAATAGGCCCGGAGCTAGGCGCATTAAGTAATAATACAAGCAAACTATATTACAACAAAATTATCATCTGGGCAGCTTTACTTAGTACGTGGGCTACCATTTCATTAGAAAAATTTTGGGTGATTTGGGAAATTTATCACCTCCGGCCTATTCCGACCCCAACTTTTGGTCGATCTGCTGAATTTTGGTTGCTCCACTAATCTATCCAGGAAAATCACTCTTCGGCATTTTCCGATCGGGCTAATTCGGACAAATTCAAACCAATATACCGGTACTTATTTTGCATGTATATAATTTTTGCCTTTATTGATTTAAATGTTCATTCGATAAGCTATTGAATCAATAAGGGCAAAAAATGGGTTACGGTACGATTTCCCGAAAGCTATTTCCCCGACATGTCACCTACCCGATATCACGCAGGTGACAATTTGCTAAAATATATATCTACAACTAACAAAATGCTAACCCTAACCATATGTGATGTCAGGTAAATAGTTCTCGGGAAAGTGGGCTTTGGGAAAGTGAGAATCAACGCAAAAAATGATTTACATGTAAATAAGTACGTACGTACTTATGTTGGTTTGAAATGTTCCGCATTTTCCCGATCGGAAAATGTCGGAGAGTGATTTTCCTAGCAAAGATCTAGGGTTGGGGGCACGGGAAAATTTTCGGGCATGCCCCATGGGTAGAGATGTGCGAATGCATATTTTTTTGGCTCTGCATTGCATAATGCAGCATAATGCAGCATGTGACATTATGCAATCATGGTGTTCTACCAAAATCAAGAAGCAAGGATTCATACCCAATCTTTCTTATCTCTAGACAGAGGTTTACTATTTACGGTATTTTCAAACTTCATATTAGTTATCCTGTTTTATACAGGTAGAAAATCACTAACTGATGCTACATATCACTTAGTATTACATATGATATAAAATATAATATTTATTGATTTTGTTTCATTAAAATTATATAGAATTTCTATATGCACTTTAAATTTTAAAATGTCTACATTACATTATGCGACATTATGTTTTGCATAATGTAATGCACATAATGCAGAATGCC